CTCTAGCCTCTGTCTCACAGCAGATCCCAAATCAACCCAATCTTAGCTCCAGGCCTTCCTGCTGCAGTAAGGGAACTAGCCCATCTGTGCAGGGACCTACTAGGAGATACACACCTATCTGAGCTGCTGTGACAGGCATGCCAGCCTCCATCTCACAGCAGATCCCCAAAGGGCTCTGTCTCAACTTTGTCCCTTCCTGCTGCATCAGGGAGCTATCCTATCTTTGCTGGGTAATATGCACTCCTCTGAAGCAAGACTGAGCTCTTCTCCCTGTCCCACAGCAGATCCTGAGGAGACACTCTCAGCTCTGGCTTCTCCAGCTACAATCAAGGAACTGCTTGTGCAGGGACCTGCTGGGTGATGCATGCCCATCTAGGCCAACAATACAGGCCCATAAGCCTCCTTTCTCTGGCAGATCCCAAGGTGGTCCAGCCTCAACTTCAACCCCTCTCACTGCAGTCGGGGACCCAACATACCCATGTAGAGATGGGCAGGGACTCACACCCATCTAGTCCATTGGGACAGTCTTCTGGAATCAGATGCCAGACCAGCACTCCCATACAACCTCAGGACCCTCCTGGGGTCTTCCCCAGGGCCATCTGGGCCTTAAAACCACAACAACTTTGAAGTGCTTGTGAGAATCATGGTAAGCCTGGACTTAAGGCATCCTCTAGTGCTAAGAGGGCTGCAATGATCACAGATTCAGGTAACTAAACAGGTCTGCCAGAATCCATGGAAGGCTCTTGAAAGACAGACAGGGACAGGCAAAGGCCAACCTGTAGAGACTAACATAAATAATCCCTCAATGCACATGTTCACAATTATCAAGAATATTTAGAGAAATATAACCTCACCAAATGCACAAAATAAGGTATCAGAGACTAACTCCAAAGTGATAGAGACGTGTGATCTCTCAAAGAATTTTTAAAAAAACGTTTCAAGGAAAGTCTCTGAACTTCAAGAAAACACAGAATGAATTCAGAATTTTATCCATGAAATTTAACAGAGATCAAAATTTAAAAAAAAATAAATCCTAAGGCTGAAAAATAAATGTAATTAATGAAATTAAAAAATGAAATAGCATCAACGGCAGAATTGATCAAACAGAAGTAATCAGTGAACTCAAAGACAGTCTAGTTGAAAATACAGTCAGAGGAGGAAAAGAATAAAAATGAATAAAGAAATCTTACAAGATCTAGGTGACAATATCAAAAGAGCAACTATTTGGGTTATTGAAGTAAAAAAGGGAACTGAGAAAGAAAAAAGTGTATAAAGCTTGTTTTAATAAGTAATAACAGAAAAGTTTACAATCCTGGACAAGGAGATAAATATCTAGACACAAAAAGATTAAAAGTCCTCAATCAGATTTAACTCAAATAAGAATACACCAAGACATAATTACATACTCAAAAGTCAAAGATAAGGCCGGGCGCGGTGGCTCAAGCCTGTAATCCCAGCACTTTGGGAGGCCGAGGGGGGTGGATCACGAGGTCAAGAGATCGAGACCATCCTGGTCAAGATGGTGAAACCCCGTCTCTACTAAAAATACAAAAAATTAGCTGGGCATGGTGGCGTGTGCCTGTAATCCCAGCGACTCAGGAGGCTGGGGCAGGAGAATTGCCTGAACCCG